CAAACACCTAAAAAAACAGCAGTTTCACCTTGTTTTTAATGATTTTTCTGGTAAAATTTGACATGTAGCTCTGTAAATTCCTTTTAAAATGGCCTTGACGTTTACTGTGCAAATGCAGAAACATGGAAAGTAATGCATGCCTGCGTTGAAACATTAAAAGATCCTTTTTAGAAACCATGGTATGATCGTTAAAACCTGAAATAAAAGTAGGCTACCTGAAACCTCTACCCCAGTTGGGATGCTTGATGCGCACACGCATGACCGGGCCAATCAGCAGCAAGCATTACGCATCGTGCGAGCCACGCGTGACTAATAACACTAATCCGATTGGCTTTTGGAGCGTAAAGCTAGCCTGCGACAGAAATCCTTCATTGTGATAACTTTTGCATCCGAAACCAAAATATGGCCATTCTTGTCCTTTCTTATTCCCATATAAGCACGTAAATCCGATTTTTTTTCTAATTATGCTACTGCTATGAATTCTGACATGAAAAGTGCCCATATCTGCTTGTGTGCAGGGAACGCACATAATTACACACGCGTGCGTCCGATCAAAAATGAAAAATCGATAATATTGATTTAAATATTGACTTAAATCAATTTTTGGCGCCGTCAAAACCTTCGCCAGACCATTAGCAGTAACTGTGTCAAATTTGGTTGAAATACTTTCTTGTATTTTAAACGTAAATTGATTGGAATCATTTTTCTGACGATCAGTAAAATCGTTCATATTGACAAATCTGTCAACACCTCATTCTCCTTATTAAAAAAAAATATAAAAAAAACTTTCAAAAATAAAATATACTTTTGAGAAGATGATTATCCGCTCCACCTTACTAAGCCCCTCCCTACCCGTTTATTGCATATTGATAAGAAAAAATCTGAACCTCCCTATTAAGCCTCTCCCTTGTATGAGGCACCTAATAGTAGGCGATCATGGCTTTTTCCGGCTTCCTTCTTTGATAGGCACCTGTCCACTATCATGATTTTTCTTGGTAAATATCGTGCAGAGATTTCTTCTTTATACACAGTAGAGAATCTGTCCTTCTCCTAGACTTGTTGTTAACCAAAGTTATAGAGCCCAGTTTGTCATCCTATTTTATCCATAGCTGGGATATAGCTTTTACTCCACCAGCTGATGAGAATCTTACTAACAGTGGATCTGACGCGTTATTAAACTTTTGTCTCTTGTAAGAGCGCGTCTCTGATTCGTCGTCTGGTTTTGTTTGAACTTCAGAAATTGCCAGGCATCGCATCACGGAAGTCACTTGTGAAAAAAAAAAAAAATTTTTTTTAACGGCTGTCCACAGAAGTGTGTTACCGCTTCCTTTACCTACCTCACCAGTAGTCACTTAGTGTTAATTTAAAGGACACGAAACATGCGGTGACACTCACTAAATGCTGTTCACCTACTAAAATTTCAACACTCATGTACTGAAGGATACTAAAATTTAGTATTTAGCTATATAAATGTGACTAATTCTGGTATTCGTCCACAAAAATTGTATTATTTTAACGATGCACTTTTTTAATACAACAAAAGCGATGACATTCCTCCTCAATGTCAAAAACATTCATATATTTAATTTTATTGTCATAGACTTAAATGACAATTTCGAAAAAATTGATATAAGCAAATATTCTGAATGGTATATTTGGGTTTGAAAAGTTATTGACAACCATATAGTTTAGTATCCCAAATAACGCCTTTTTCTACCATATGAATATACCTCAAAATGCTCAAAACTTTACATAAATTTAATTAATTATACCCTCATAATTTTTCCTGCCAAATGGGGGGAGGATGAGATAAAATTAATGTTCGCTATATAGAACCGAAGATATTTGGGTTTGAAAAAGTTGTTGACTAATTATGTAGATTAGTATCCTAAATCACGTCTTTTTTGCTTTGTTTAAAATTATAAAATGTCCAACTTTTTAAGAAAATTTATATTCTAAACTTTTGGTTTCGGACAGGAATTTCTTGTAATTTACAATTAATTTAACGTTACTTTTCTATGGAAATTTTAATTTCTAGCAAAATCCGAAATGATTTCTTTGAATTTGTCCAATTGATAAAATGAAATGGCACAAAAGTTTTATGGGCATAAAATGTCTTAATTGTTAGCTTGCGCCAAACATTTGTTTGTCATAGTTTTCTGCGTAACAATTTATACAACGGCGATAATTTGGGACATGAAACTATGAGGCTCTCTAAATTGTTTAACTCTGGAGAAGACAACATGATAGGAGGAAATTTTCAGGCGAAAAACTGCCAGATTTAACAAAAATATATCAATCAAAACTATTTGATTTCTGACATTTTCCACACTCAATACTCACTTATGAATTTATTTTTTATGAAACATAGTGGAGAGCCATGAGGAAGTAACTGAATTCATTCTCTTCACTTGACTGATTCTTATTTGAGAAAAGATAGTGAATAAAAATCGCAAAAAATCTGGACATAATTTTTTTTTTTTTTTTTTTTTTTTTTTTTACAAAGGGAAATTATCCAAAAAAATAACCGAAAATTAAATTTAAGTTATAAATAATTTTCTAGTTATATCAATATCACTCACTCTTAGAAATCGAACATTTTGTTTTTCCAATTGTAATTCCACAAGATGAACTTCGTAAAGTTTGGTCGAAAGGATTTCATTTTAGTTAAAATAAGTCTGCTTCTATTTTTCTTTTGAATTATCTTTCCTCAAATTTTCTCTATTAATTGCCACTAAAAGGCGATATGATTATTTTATGACAATAACAATCAAGAAATAGTGTTATTGATTTTTTATCTTATTCATCATCAATGACACACCATCCATTTTAAACATAAATATCTGACTGTTTCGCCTGGCTTGTGATTTGAGTAGAATCTATGAAAATAGCATTTTATAAATAAATGAATGAATAAAATAACTAAATATTTTAAGCTTGATCAAACTCTGATTTTATAAAATTAACATCTTAATTTATATTTAAATATATTTTCAATACATTTTAAAATTATTTTTTAATTAAGCCACGGAAATTTAGAAGTTTTTCATTTTTCTTCGTAACCGGACAGCCTCTGAGCTTTTAATGCTGAATATCAACACTTAATATATTTTACACTATTCGGACTATTGCCCTCATCTTTGTCGGCATATTTATTACAACGTTTCGGTCGTTGTACGCTCCGGTGGTTAGAATTTCGAACTGAACCCTTTATTTCGCTCACTGGGGTAGACTGTTCTAGTTCCACGTGCCATGTTTGATGGATGTCAGTTATCAGTTATCTCCTGTTAATTCCCCTCTCCAAGTTCTCCGCCGCCTTAACCAGTTAGTGAACTCACACTCTTTGGGTCCTGTTTAACCAAACGCCTTTATCCACTGTGCCATGTGTCCTTGAGGACATCTGTGTATGAATTATAAACCTAATGTTTTCAGCAATCATTTTTTTTAACAGTGCTCATATTTTAATAGTCAAATGTTAAATTTTAGTATACTTCTTGAAGTGTTGAAAAGCTTATGCTCGCATAGCTTTTCGTGTCTTCCCATTTATTGAATGTTTTTAGTGAAAATTTTTTTTTTATTTTCAACAAAATTTTTTCCTTTTTTAAGGATTTTTAGGTTGGCTTATTAAATTTATTTCAATTTTTTTTTTTTTTTTAATTCGTATTAATTTCTGACGTATGTTTGTAGCAAATAACTTAAGTCATTGAGAACTTAATATTGGCAATTGTGTGGAAATGTTTAGTTCTAGTTTGAAATAATATTCTTCTTTTATCGAATGGTCAAAATCTTGTATGATTTAATCTTACATCTTATAGCCTCCAGTTGTGGTTTTTTACCACAAAGCTATTCATTCTGAAAAGAAGGCTTGTACATAGGAAGACATTTTTCCCTCTTTGCGGAATGAAATATTTTTGCCCACTTAACTCTAATAAAAAAATTCTCCTTACTATTTACCAGTTTTCTGTGTTGGGCAGCAGCTCGCTTATCTGACTTGGTGTCTGGCATGAGAACAACGACCACGATGTGCTAAAGATTTAGGACAACATTCAACCATGTATTTGTGTCACTTTCTGTCTCTGTCACTTTGCGTGTGTCACTTTGTATCGCTGTGTCCCTGTCTATCTCTCTGTCTTTGTTCATTGTTTCCAGCGTCACTTTACAGAGTTGATTTCGGCAAAAGCAACTTTGAAAAGTTCTTGTAAATCTAATCAAAATGTCTAAATAAATAACCTGACCACTGCACTCGAACAAGCAATTCCTTTTGACAAGACATATTGTAGGGTTGCATTTCTGTTGCTAATGCCAATCCTTTTATTGCTTTGACTCTAAAGGGAGTTGTTCATTTTCATTTTGTTGATTCAAATTGCGATACCACCATGTTCTTGTATTTGTCTTTATCGATATCGTCATTTGCCTGGTCAATTTGTCGATTTTTCGCGTTCACTCATCAGTTTGCAAAGATAGCAAGAAAATCAAGACCACATTATCAAAGGGACTGATTGATTTTTATTTTATTTTATTTATTTAGTGTTTTTTTTTTTTTTTTTTTTTTTTTTTGTTTTTTACGGATTGTTGAAGTTTTGTGGTTTATTTAAAGCCGAGCCGAAACACATTTTAAATTGGAAGAATAATTTTTTGTAAGTAAATATTGTATTGTCAATTTCCCAAGGATTGGACATTTAAGTGAATATAATGAACTTGACTGGAGTTGACACTCTCCTTTTCGTTGACAAAAGGAGTTTTTGTAGAAATGTTATCGATCAGGAAATAAAATCCTTTACCGTGTTGCCAAATAGACTTCCCCACTAAAGATTATTAGCATGAGTGATGTGCATATGTAACTCAATTTCTCCCTGCTTATATATATATATATATATATATATATATATATATATAAATTACAGTGAGTGCTGGTGGTAATAAAACAATGCTCCATGTAAAATAACTAAAATTTATACTACTAATAATTATACATTTTATTCCTAAACGTTTGTACAGGCTTACGGCAATATCACGCTAAAACACCAGTTCTCGTCGGATCACCGAAATTAAGCAACGTCGAGCCTGGTCAGTACCTTGATGGGTGACGACTTCAGAATACCAGATACCCTAAGGTACGGGTGGGGGTCATGGATAACGGATCGGAAAGGGAAATCTGAGAGCTGAGTTCGAATTCCAGTCGAGTTCGTTATATTCACTTATGCACAAATAACCTTTGGTCAAGATGTGAATCCCCCCACCCCACACCCAAAGCTGCGAGTAGGACTTGTATCAGAAAGTCATTATCTCCTAAAAGATTCTGAAAAATCCAAAATATTTGCTGGCTTTAAATAAACCGCAGAAAGTTAAGTCATAAAAATTAACAAATCAGTCAATGTAGCAGTTTGGTACAAAACGTATATTATTAGTGTGTGTTATATAATATATATATATATATATATATATATATATATATATGAGAGGGAGTGGAGATGAAATGTTGCTTAATTGTTATCTATGTGAGAAATTAGGCTTTTAGGCCTGTTCACATTATTTTGTAGTCTTTACTCACATTTTGTAGCATACATTTTTAGGCAAAAGAACTATGATCGTGCGACGCGTTTCGTCCTTTCGGACTAAATTTGTTTACATTCATGCGACTACGCATGCGCACGAACAGAAGAGACGCTGAGAATTTTAAATTTAAGAATATTTTTTTTTTAAAACGTGTTTTGGGTATATTATCTAACCGATTTCATTTCGATTCTTTTTCTTTGTTCGTTTCCACCACTTTTGTCATTAAATATCCCCCATTGTGATAATAGATTTGCCAAGAATGGTGAAACGTTGAAAGAAACTGGACGCAAATTTACTGTGGGAGATACAGCGATTCAAGCATTTTCTAAATATTTTCGTTTTAGTCAATTGTTTTCTTTTTTAATTATTTGGCAACGTTACGGGAACTACATGACTCCGACAGCTTTGTTTAAATGACAATGTCTTGTACATGTTTCATTTTTCTTATCTGAAAACTAATGATTACTATAACTGAAATGTCTAATGCTGTTCAAATTACAAATTGGATTATTTGTGCATAGCATACGGTCATTTCGCCAAAGTTTTATCGATTAAATTAATTCCATAATAGTGTATTCCTTTTTATTTATACATGTTCGGTCTCTCTACAGGTTAACGTTTTCTTCACGGTTTATGGGTGGCTGGTGACGCCGTTCTATCTGTCACGACGGCATAACATGTTAGACACACAATTCTTGGTAATGCTTTCTTCCTGACAGCAGTTTTACGATTTTAAAAATTCTAATGTCATTTCATTTTGGAGAACAAAAAAGTATCAACTGTCAACTTTTCCAAAAATATCACAAAAGAAAGTGAAATAAATTGTGAGTAAGGAATCTAGTTTAGTCATTGTAAAAAAGCAAAACAACCACATGTGGTTGAGTAATTAAGTTCAATAAAATGCTACGTAAATGCGGACTGATATAAGGTAATGTTATATAACATGTGTATATGTATAATAGCTGGCCACTCGTATTCTAGGATAACCGTCTACTAGGGCGGCTAGCCAATCCCTATTGCAGACGCTTGCTCAGGCGCATTTGTGTTTATTCAACACCCACAGTCCAACTGGTTTATACTGCAACTATACTGAGCATACCTTAGTTACAGTTTCTGGGAAAGAGCAAGTTATCTAGCATGATCAACAATTTGAACAAGGCCAGCACGCTCAAGCTTTCGACCACGATGCCTTGTGGCTTCGTGCTAGCACAGCTATCGACGGCCCACGAGAGTTCCGTTTACCCAATTTCAGTCACAAGGCTTGGGTCAGCCCGTGGTATGGTTTTTCAGGCACTTTCCAAAGGTGCTGCACGTTGGGTTCGACCTCGATCCAGTCCGATAACATGAGAAAGTCGACTTCCCGACCAATCAATTTTAAGTTAGATCTCCACCCCTCCCAATCCTTACCCTATTCTCTATTTTATACACACATTGTTAGAATTCTTACTATACCTCTTTCTTTTTCCAACTGAACCAGAATATATAGGCTTATGGCCACATCATGTTGAAACACCGGTTCCCATATGATCACCGAAGTTAAGCAACGTCGACCCTGGTCAGTACCTAGATGGGTAACCGTTTGGGAATACTAAGGTTGTACATGCCGTTGGTTTAATAGATAATAACTTAGAATTGAAAGTCGAAGAGCTGAGTTCGAATTCCAGTTGAGTTCATTATATTCACTTACGCGTAAATACTCTTGGGAAAGGTATGAATTCATCTCTTCTCCCTCTAGCTACGGGTTAATTAGTAATACTCGTATCACTAAACCTTTATCTCCAAAAATAAATAAAATTGTGTACAAAAAATATTTACATTTCGGTATGATATAACCAATAGAAGTGTTGATATGCCGTTAAACAAAACTAACCAACCAACAGAATATATAACTTTTGTTATTTGTGATTGAACCCAACTCTCAGCCACTAAATAAATATATACACTTCCATCGTCTCTAAAGGTAATTGGATAGTTTTTTAATGAAATTAATTTATCAGAACACTTTCATCATCTAAAATCCCGAAAAGAGCATTTCTTTCAGTAGATGCTTAGAAACATGTTGCTGTTTTGATAAAGACGTTCGTCCGCATAATTCATATTATTTTTTCACCAGTTTTTGTTCGCTTTAATGAATCTGTTTGTGTGAATTGAATTGTGGTTGACATATTTCATCGACTCTCCTTATCCCCCCACCATTCTTTTATTGCGTTGAGTAATCACTAATAGAAATTAATCAGAAGACCAGTTGGCACAAACATTGTTAAATGGACAAAGGCTTCAAATATTGATGACTAATGAGAAAAACTGAGGGTGCGGTTAATGTCATGGTCACTAGTTACAAGCATCGCGCATTGTTGGTCTGTCACTCGTCTGTCTCCAAAGAATAGTTAAAAAAAAACAAACAAAAAACCCGCTTTTCAGTCTGACAATAACTGCTGGTAATATTTCAATCCCGGCCTTTCTCGCTTTCACGATAAATGTGCATAATGTCTTCATAGTTTTTCTTTTCTTTTAGATTATTAGTATATTTAATCGCGTAGGGCATGAAGACCAAAATATATATGCTTTCTCTTTATTTAGGAATATTTAAGAAATGCTGGTAGTAAAAGTTAAATATTTAAACTCTTTTTATTCTTATTCTTCTTAAACTGAAAATAAAATAAGCCCTTCTATGAACTAATATTTTCATTGGATGGGTTTCGTGGTTGAAGTAGTTGCGTATATCCTACAGATGTCAGCGGTTGTTATTCGAGTCCAACTAAAAGCGAATATCAAGGCAAGGAAGATTCTACACTCGAGTTTTTGTCTTATCTACAATCGTCGAATAATTTTTGATACTCGTCCCGATATATTTTTCTCTTTTATTATATATATATATATATATATATATATATACACACACACACACAACTCAAGGACTGACTAAAATTAACGATAAAAAAAAAAGTGGAAACCATAGATAAAGTTCACATTTTTTTAGAAACATTCATTCACTCCTGCAGTTCACTGCTACTAACAAGCAGGGTTTTTTTTCCTGATGAAGACCATGATGGCCAGAACTAATCAAAGAACCTAATTGAAATAATAAAACAAAAAATATTAATATACAATCCAATGTTCCTGAAAATTTAATTTTTAATATTTTTTATTGTTCAAAACACACACACGTACACGTGTGTGTGTTTATGTAATTTTAAATGCTATGTCTCTTTAGGGCGTAGGTGATTATGGCTCTCCACAGATTCTTTTTGTTTATTATTTGTGAATTACCATGAATTCTTAGGAAAGATAGTGTTTTGTTGCCATCTCCAAGTTTGTTTGTTTTTATTTTCACCCCAAGCAAGGCAATAAACCCGCAAAGATGCAAGGGGCTACTGATTGTGAGAGAATATGAGAAAAGGAAAATCTTAAGGAGAGAGAGAAAAAAGTAGGAATTAAGAAGGCGGAAGATAACAATTTGATATTGCATTTAAATTTTTGAAGATCAAAGTTGACTGGAAAGCAAGAGGCTGGAAGAGTTCCACAAGAGAGAAGTGCGATCGAAGAAACTGTTAGCATAGAACTTAAGGTTACATCTAGTCATTTCAAATGTAAAATGATGAGGACATGTGACTAACATAGTACTGCGCTTAAATTCATAACGTCTACGTACCATAGAGGAAAGTAATATTTATTTTGGAAAGGGACAAGATCAAAAGGGAGGATGGAAAAGGTTGGTCTTCTGTTATATAATTAAATCTAACTAGCCACAATTACTGGCCCAAACATACCACAGTATTCCTTACACCAAAACAACACATTCTTACTTCATTCACCATAATACCTCAAAGTCTCTATGAAGCCCTAACTAATCCTTTTATGTACAATTTTTGTCTGGGAAGTGGGGGATAAAAAACGACAATCAAGAAAAATATATAACCCCAATGTGTATTTATTTACGATGTATTTTCAACGAGGAAAGTCCATCAGAATAAGTATCGTGAAAATATTTATAGAAAACGCACAGGGGAACTACGTTTAGTCGGTGGGAAAGTGGTTGAAGCCGAGATACTAGGACAGGGCCAATAATATTGTATATTCTTTGTATTTTATCAAGAATCTCTAAATACATTTGAAATTCAGTTTTAGACTGGTTTCTATTAAAAACTCGAGAACTCAGTCTACACTAGACTAAGAAGAGGTTGGTTCATGCCTTTCCCAAATGATTTGTTGGTAAAAAGATTAGACCGAAATTTGAACTTTGCTCGCCGATTCCTCTTCCAAATAGATATTTTCTTCGGCATTTAAATTGCTGAACCTCGAAATAGAAACTTTTTTTTTTTTTATTTTATTAAGGAAGCAACGTTTATACTATTTTGGATTTTAAAAATGAAACAAAAATAAATAGTTGCAACTGGGTAGATTATATCTACCATTTTCTACCCGACTAAATATTAAATCCCAGACCATTTTTGTTTTTACTAGTCTCTGTAAACATAATCCCTCATTTTTTTTTAATGACCTTGTTTGCTTTGACACAACTGTACGTGGCTACTTATGCAACTAGCTGGATGGAAAATAAATCCTAAACATTTTCTTCCCGGTTTGAATTTCACTTGCCACAAAACAAAGGCAACATTGTTCAGATAACCAGGAAAAAAAATTAAATCTCTTTTTTCTTTTGTTGTGGGATGAAGGCGCCTGTTGGAGAGTTGTTGTTAGCAATAATATATTAAGTAATGATGGTTCCCGGAATGATAATAAAACAATTAACTCTTTATAATATATATAGTAAGGCTGATCAGTCAAAATCGATGTACCAAATGACCTCAAGCCCGTCGTTAACTGGGGGATGGCTTATCATTTTTAACGCCTCCAAAACTAAACTGTTCTCCATTAATCATCTGAGAGAGATCTCTCTGACTTCCATCAGCATGGCTGATGATATCCTCCAAGGAAGTAATTCATTGTGCCTTCTCAGGCTAACGTTCTCAGCTGACATGAGGTAGAAAGACTACATTGAATCCATCGTTAGATCAGCTTTTTTCTCCTGGAACTCTTCGATAAGACCCAAAGAAGATTCAGCAATATTATTGGTCTTGATCTATCCGCTCGGTTTCAGTTACTTGCCCACCGCCGTAAGGTTGCCTTTCTGTGTCATTTTTTTTTTTTTAATAAACACTGTCATGGTAATTGTTCGGATGAGCTCCTCGCTGTCGTACCTAGACTGTATGAATTTAATTTCGCTATAATTGTTTTATTCCCCTCCTCCAATGAGTGGAGACTAGTTAAAACTTTCGTAGACATTGAGGTATTATGGTAAATGTAATAAGAATGCATTGTTTTGGTGTTAGGCATATTGTGGTATGTTTGGGTCAGTGATTGTGGCTAGCTAAGTTTAAATTTTAGACAGAAAAAAAACGCCCTTTTTTTCCCACTCCCCATTCCCCATTTGGTCTTGTGCCACATTTTGTGTTTTCACGAATATCGTTCTTCGTTAAGGTACCTAGATTTTATGAATTTAAGCGCAATACTAAACTGGTGTCAAGATATCATCAATTTATAGTTGAGCTGGCTAGAAGTAGCCGTAACTTTTAGGACACTAACAACAGTTTCGTATCTTGCACTTTTCGCTTGTGGAACTAACTTTCGGCTCCATGCTTTCCAGCCAATCTTTAATCTGCAAAAGTTTTAATTCAATGTCAATCGCTATCTACTGTCCTCCTGATTGTTCTTTCTACTCATTAATTCCACATTCTGTAACCTCTTGTGTGATAGTGACAGTACTGCTTTGTTTGGGGTGATACTGATTAAAATATATATTTTACACACACACATATATATATATATATATATATATATATATATATATATATATATATATATATACACACTTCCGTGAGTTTAGTACATATTTGATATTATTTAACAATTTTTCCAGTTTTTATTTTGATTAAACTATGTTTTGTTGAAACAGTGAAGAGATCTTTTCTTTATTTATAATTAAATCTGGTCTTGTTTTTTTAGATTGAAACCTTGCATTGTTTAGTTGAGAGGTAGAATTTATCAAATGCTGACTTTTGTCCACAAATGAATATCTTAAAGATGAAGGATGAAAAGTTACTTTCGCCATATTATTCTCTATGAATTTCAGAAAGTAGTAAACGTCGGAACTGCGACCAAAAAAAAATTTCAGAATCGCGTTCCAGCTCTACGGACGAACAAAAATTAATTTGTCCGATTTCATCAGGGGTAATTTTGAGCCGAAACAATCAACCACGTTCCGAGTGACCTTCCGACGTCGATGAAGATGTTCTGCTTGCTATCGTAAAGAATAAAGAGAGATTGCTAAGAGTTTCAAAATTATTATCTTGACTGTCTTTCGCCATTTGAAGAGACTTGGGTTCAAGAAAAACGGCCGATTTTTGCAAATCGAAATGGTGTCATTTTTCAATACAAGACTGCATATTGCAAAACAGATCTTGAAGAAACTTACAGTTGAAATGGGATCCCACCCTCCAGCACCCACTGTATTGTCCTGACTTACCCCACTTCCGATTTTCATTTGTTCTGGTTTCTACAGAACAATTAAAAAATTGATTTTGTGCATTCAG